CACAAATGCAATGGTCGACCAATTTCGAAGACTTCGACCTCCAGAATCAGTGCTACCCCCCACCCCCCTGTAAGGTAGCCGGAGTGACGTAACTTAGCCAAGATGCACGGCCAGAATCACGCGTTAAAAGCGAAAAGTTCGTGGAAAGACACACGCAGCTGCTTTCCATGGATCATTTACGATGCCCGTTATATACCCTTGGCTGCGAGCTGATACGTCCTTCGGACACGACCCCATTGTACACGGTGAAAGGAATACGTGGACGATCTTCCGCAAAATAGAGGAGCCTCCCGTGTGGTCACCCTTCGCGTGGCACGCGCCACGATCCACCTTTCTTTCTCTCTTTTTTCTTTTTTTTTTTTTCCGTCGTGCGGCCAGCCGTCGCCTTTCAGATCCCCAGGATAAGGAATCCTCCCTACTGCGAGCTGGGGAACTCTTTAGAATGTTACGGTTACTCGGTGTGTATATACGTATACGGAGGATAGAAAGAGAAAGAAAATAGAGAGAGAAAGAAAGAAACATCCTCGGGCGCCTTTGATGTTTTCGACTCTCTCTACCCACGGCTACTGTATATACGTCGCCGGTCCCATTCAAGCTTTGAAGTCTTTTGCGCAGCGATCGCGTTGCTAGGGAATATTGTCACAGAGGCACGCTGATTTATTACGTAAAATTGGCCGAATGTTTCGGTGGTTAGGGTAGTTTATGTTATTGGCTATTATGGTAAGTCTTACATAGGTTGATTCATAAGTAGCGATGGACTCTGAAACACCTTCAATCCCTTGGAATATGTACAGAGTGGCGAAAAATTCGAATCGCTTCGAACATGATTTGATATGTTTAAGTTTCGATGCGTCTCGAAAGTCTTGATAGGTCTTCGAATAAAGAAGCTTCAATTTATATCAACTTTAAATTCTCATTTATCCTCAGATCCATCAATGAGGTTTCAGCACTGAATAAGAAATCTAAATTCTCAAAATGACACAAAAAAAATTCATCAAACTAACGCAGAATTAAAAATCAAACTTTTAGCTTACTTCTTTACAAGGAAATTTCTCTATATTGAAAGAATACGATAATAATAAGTAATCTTTTTTTTATGAATCAACCTGTATGTTATTCTACCTTTGTAAAATCACTCGTAGTTAAGACAATTTGTATCAATTTGTAGTGTATTTGGTTTGTTCGATATGAAAAAGAAAAATAAGGCCTTTTTTGTAATTAGGTAAATAAACGGGAGCAGCGAGGCCAAAGGAAAAGGAAACAATGCGTATATTATTCCGCAGTGCACCCTACTGGTTAAACACAGCATCATATTTCGATATCGCTATTTCACCGGAGGGTGTTTTCCGAACTGCTGCCCTTGAAGATTTAAAGAAGCTGGGATAAATGGCGCCCCGCGTTGCGCCTATTGCACAGCCTGGATTGCGATTCGAATGTCGATGATTGAACGCATAAAGGAAGACAAACAACGGGCTCTTGGGGGAGCAGGTGAAAAAACTGCCGCTCCTAAGCCCGCGTTCGATTGTCGTAATTTGCTACAGCCTCGATGTGCGCCCCTTAAATTAACCGGAAAAAGAGGAAAAATGCTACGTAAAAGTGGAAAAAGAATTCCAAGCTGTTATTTAAATATTTTGTGATAAAGAATTAAAAACTATACGTTTCAAAATTTCAAATATTCAAGTATACAAAATTTCAAATATTCGAAACTTTGAACACTCTAATATTTAAAATTTCAAAGCCTCCAAATTTCAAGATTCGCCAATACTCCGCACGAGACCAAATAAAATGAAGAAAAAACGGATTAAATTATCGGGAGTCGATCTCGTACACTCTACATTAATGGAACGAGCCTACCGTCTTTAATGTACTGACCCCTCCGTCCATCTCGAAGGGACCAGGCGAAGGAGGGACGAGGAAAGGCGAGTTCCTCGCGTAAGAAAGAAAGGAGACGGGTGTAGGAGGGGTTCTCCTCGTTGGGGGGTGACCGATACAAGTGGGACATTCAAGAAAGGGGTTAGGTCCCATACGGTGACAACGGCAAAACTCGAAACGACGTCGTCGGACTTGGCTTCCGGCCATTTCCCAGCTATCGATCCACGAAGCGTTACGACGAAGCTGCCCTACGTGCAATTATAGGTGTATCGTGTGTATAATACGACCCTGGTACATGCATAGCCGGGGGGTAGATCGTCGTAGGCGCACAAGGACGATCCCCAAAATTTGGCCGCGAAACCGGGATCGCGAATTCTTCGATGGCCGTGCGCGGAACGCGTTATTCAGGACAGCTGCACTGTTGCTTAAAACTGTTCCAGCCAAGAGAGGTCCAAAAACGGGTCAAATTGCATGTACCTAGACACGATGTAACAGAATGTAGGTATGTACATTGGTAAAAGAGGTTAATTCTATTGGTTCTTTTGAAAATCAAGAAAAATTCTTCAACATTTTTCACTGATAAATTAAGGAAAATTCGATTCGAATCTTTGTACACGTGAGATTTTGTAAAATTTTGATTCTGGTTATATTTAGGTTAGATTTGAGTTAGAAGTGAATTAAATTTAAATTTTGGATTTCATTGGTGGAATTAGCTAGAGTTAGATTAAAATTTCAATTAAAATTGTTAAATTATTAATTGTATTAATGTGATTTCAACGTGTACTTCCTTACACAAATGTACCTTCGAAAAGGTTAGTTATTAATATTCATAATTAGAAATTTTTGTAAGAAAAGTTGGCAAGACAAATTTCGTAGAAAATTTTCGATTACAAGTGATAATTTCTCGTAACATATTTTGGTGAAGTGGCGTGGAAGAAAGACACAGTTCACCCACCCTACGAATGCAACACAACGGTGCGTTTCCACGTATGCGTGGAATCGATAACTGGGAATTAGTCTGACAGGCTGTCTGCCAGAACCAAGTACGTGCATCTACGCGAAAAACCTTGCCAATCATGTTAAAGTAATTACATCGTGCGAGTAATCAAGTTAGATATAACTGGTATGCTGACTGGAAAACTATTAGATTAATATCGTTTTCCGATTCATTCCTGTCTCACAGAACGATTCTTAATATGACAGTATTTTACTTGAATAACCTAGGTGGAGAAAAGTTTTTGTTCAAAACAGTCGATAATGTCGTTGTTTCAGTTACCGAATCGAGATTAAAATGCTTTTCCTAGGAACGTGCAGTTCATAAACGAGGTGTATAATTTTTACATTCTAATGAGGTCGTTTAGAATCAGGCGCGCCATTAAAATATTACGTCTTGAAATTTTGCATCAATTTAATATTATACACAATCTGAAAATATTCTTAGTTTCGATTTATATCCAACAAACTTCGATCAATAGTACGACAATGACAAATGAAGATATAAGTCTCTACTTGGAACAAATAAACGATTTTGAAATTGGGTTATCATAACCAGTTCACTCGTAAAAGTTTACCTTCCTGTTTTTCTATGGCTCCACCTAAACACACTATCGTTCGTTCCGCGCTGAAAGTGTACATAAAAAGAATGCTAGCCGTTTCAGAAAGACAAATTAGAGAACAAATGAAAATATGTCCGCACAAACTGCGTCGTGAAAGCCAACACGAGACCGAGATAAATAGACGATCACCGTAGTCGGTACCGAGGATCAATATGTCACAACCATGGTCACAAATACACAAGGCAATAAGCGTATATACACATAGTCGATACATACAATAAATGCCCTTACCTTCCACGTTTTGTTCCGCCACAAAGCGTATCGACTTCTTTGCGATTATCGATTACACGAAAAATTTACGTGTGCTAAAAATGTTCTTGAAGTCAATATTTAAGTACTTCCTGAATATTAACATGATGTACGTTTAATATATTAGCATTTTTTAAGTTAGATAAATAAAATACAATTTTCATTTTCAATAAAAGTAACTTAACGAAGATTGTTCGTTCACATGTATTTATTGTTACAATTACGAAAGGAAATTTATAAGTACATTCCACTTAGAAGAATATTACACGTAAGAAACAATGTACACCACACCCTTTTTACATCACTATTAGTAAAAGTTATTTATTTTTTTTTTTATTATAGAATTGAAAGTGTCTAGTCTCGAAATTTTTCGATAAATTTTAATCGGACATTTATTGCTATCGATATTGTCGACTGATTCCGCTCGCCACCATTGGCGCTGAAATCAGTAGGTTAAATATCGCGCTTTTTTTTGCACAGCGAATGTTCGAACGTTGAGATTGAAAGTTTTTTTACGGTTGAAAGTCACGTTCTGATGTAAAAAATTATGTTTCAGCTTCTTCTAGTGATAATAAACCGGTAGTGATTTGTAAACAAGAATTGGCAGACACCGCAACGTAGTTTTCCACGAGAAATACGAATCCACATTTAGAAGTGACATTGACAACGAAATCTTGCGACTCATTTCACAATACTCTACAAATAACGTCCCATATTAATCTCGTCGCAACGGTGAAGTATGCAAAGGCACTTTTCAAACAAACTGGTGAGTACTTTAATACATGATAAATACCAACAGCTCCTCAACTTGATTTTTTCGTCAAACATTTTAATTAAATACAAACATTTAATCCACGTTCAGTATGGTCATAGTACAAACCGAACTCTAGGGTTACTTTAAATTACAAATACAGATAGAAAATACAAAATTTACTAAACTTCTATATCAGCTTCACGTTGATTGTACGACGTCGTAAAAAAACACTGAATAAATTCCTTTTAATAAGATATAAAATTCGTTTAAGAAATTTCACAATATTAATTTAATAAAAAAATGAATAGTTTAAAGTATTAGCACCATATTAAGCAAAATGTTATTATAAAGTGCGATACAAATATAAACCGTTTAGTGTATATCATAGTATACTTTATGGTATTAAAAATACCTTCTCTTAACTGGCCTAGAAACACTCATTCCTGAATGTTAAAACACGAAGAATTACGAAGAATTTTTTTTTTAACTTCAGGATCGTATCTTCCTATTTTGTCCCCCTCCCTTTTTTCTCTAACTGGTTCTAGTAATATTTCCTGAGTAACGCATATTTCATAAAAATGCACCACTTATCGAGATATGATTCAAATCAAAGATGGATTTCAATTGAAGAAATCTTCTACCTCTGCTAGCTCTCTTGACCGGGCCTGCTGATGCGCCCAACGATCCTCTGCAAGCTTTTCGCTTAATCCCCATTTTTCATGATAAATACGTTTTCCACAAGTTGGACATTTTTTACCCCCTGTAATAATTCAGAAAAGAATTATTTTTTATATTAATACAAAAGTCAGTTATTTTTATTACCATGGAATGGAGGAGTCTTCATGTATCTCACAAGACACTGCAAGTGAAACAAATGTCCACAGTAGAGTCTTTCTATATGCATATCTGCAGTCTCGTTGGTTTCTGCATTTTCTGGACTGGGTGGCAGACATAGTTGCCTGCATAACTGACAGTGTTCTTGCGGCAAAGTTTTTACAGCTCTAGATGAAATAAATGTAAGTTTAAATGAGGGTAATGATAATATTATGAATAACAACCATTAATAAATTAACATACTTTATGAGAAAGGAAGTGACAACTTTCAGGGATGGTGAGGGTTGGAAAGGAGCTTGTGTTTGCTTCTTGAGGGGCGGTTCCACACACTGCCTAGCTATTTCTCTTCCTTGACCAAGGAAATGACGGGTAAATAGGGGAGGAAAATTGGTATCTGCATCTTCCAATCTAAACATAAGACAATTATGATAGAGATTTAGATTTCTAAATTACTTGTTAGTCAATACAATTTCTTCATACTTTACACAAGCAACTGGATAATTATCCGGTACTTCAATTTTAGCTTTGAAATAATATAATCCACGTTGAACTTTCAGACCAATGCAAGAATATTTCTGTTTCAATTTTAATTCATCGTCATTCTCCAAAATTTTTTTTATGGCTGTGATTTCATCATAGCAGCAAACTAAGGGATTTTCATCAATAAAATTACGGATAAATTTTAATAGGGGTAACACCTGTAAGAATACTATTTGAACAGGAAATTCATTTAAAGAGAGAATTATGACATTTATTGAATTAAAATACTCACCTGTGCTTTTCCTAATAATTTCTTGCATTCCTTCTCACAGACTTCTGTTAATCCATCAAGTAATTTTACAGATAATGTTTTGCTTTTCAATTCAATTAATAATGGGGTATGGGGATAGTCTTCAGAGAATTGAATGCACACAATAATCGTCTTGAACTTTGTTTTTCTGTAAATTACATAAATAATATATACAATGCAGAAAGTCATGACATTATTCAAATGTTATGTTGACTTATAATTATTAAAATTAAACTTACGTTATTTCCACTCGCACCATGGTGCGGACGCAAGAAACGAGACGACTACCATTGACGTCATTTTGACAAAGTTTTGACACTTCTTGTAATTCATCATCGATAAAGCCCATGAGAAAATTGAAACAAATGTTTCACGATCTAGTAGTCCCTTATCGGTTATGTTATCAAATGGAATTGAACATCCAAAAAACTAACACAACATAACCAAATTGGTAAAAAAAGGACTCAGGCGAAATGCCGCGTAGTACAGTTCCCGAGAATTAGAATTATGTCATACAATCACGATCAAGGTCAGTCAAGGAACCTGTGCTTGGTTCGCTCATCTGTGTTTTGAAACATGGATCAACAACATTATGTTACTTGCTGATGTAATCGTGTTACGTATCTTGACTAATTGAATAATATATAAAAGTGGATGGTAACGGTAAAAAAAAAATAATACAAATATATAGTTAAGTTATATATCTTTATTTTTCGTAACAAAATACCTACAACAAGATAGATATTCTAATACCATGACTAGGTCCAATCATCGTGCAATAAAAAGAAAAATTTAAAATCGTCCTATACAACAAAAAAGTATAATCAGAAAATAATAGTTTATTTTTAAATGAATTTTAGATATATTTATTTACTGTTACAAGTAATATATATTTTATAAAAACAAATGGTAATTGTCACTTTTCTTCGATTGGTCGATTCGTGTAGCGCTTAGAACAGCTATCGGTAGGTCGCTCTAGTGTCGCCATATTCCGTGTCTGTAACCTAACCTAGTGGAACGCACGTGTTTACGGAAAATTTGAAATCCGTCTTCATAGAAGAGTAACTTATAAACACAAACCCATCGCAATGAAAACATGTTAAAACTAACGTAATTATAATCGTTCTATAACCTACGGTAAAACCGCGAAAATGTCTCGAATCGTCGACACAAGAGAAGTGATATTAACGAGTGACAGCAACAACGAACATTGGAGTGCCGCTGTATGGGACCCTCGAACGGGTTCAATATTATCGACCTACAAAAACGCCGGTGCTCTCAGTCATCGTACCCTTCAAGTTTTGAGTGACAGTTATATAGTGGGTGCTGATTTAACGAAATCACGTATACATGTCTGGCCATTGAACAATCATACGCCTGTACCTAACCTCCGATTGACAACACCGGGCAAGGTAACTGCCCTGATTTGTTCGCCCAGTGGCGCCTACATTGTCGCGGCTATTTCTGAAAAATTGTTTGTCTGGCAAGTGTGCAATGGACGTTTATTGGGGAATTTATCGCAGCATTATCAAACGGTAAGCTGTTTGACGTTTAGCAAAGATGGTTCGCTATTCGCCAGTGGCGCAGAGGACGGTTTGGTATTCGTGTGGTCTTTGTATCGCGTATTAAACGAGGAGCGTCCTACGTCACTGCACGCCTTCTCCCATCACTCTCTACCGGTGAAGGATCTACAATTTGGACACTGTGCACGAGGAAGACTGTGCTCTGTATCTCTCGATCGAACATGCAACATTTACGAGCCGGCCAGCGGACAGCTATTGCTCACCCTTGTATTCGATGTGCCGCTCACTTCCGTCTGCATGAACACACGCGAAAGTGATTTATTCGTGGGCTGCACCAACGGGGACATATATCGATTCAATTTGCACGAGCCTCCACGTAGAATCGAGCATCATGTCCAGGTACGGAAGGACGGAAATGCAGAGGGCGTGATAGTTTTCCACGGGCACAAATCGACCGTGGTATCGCTGTCAATATCGATCGGTGGTCGATACTTGCTCTCGGGTTCAAACAGCGGCGAGGTTCACGTCTGGGATGTCGCCAGTCATCAGATTCTACGTACGATCAATCACAATGGTCCAATCACCGCGGCTTTCTTCGCAAAATACTACGAGAATTTCCGGGTAAACAATCTTAAACCGAGTTTGCAATTGTGTAGTCTGCAAAGGATAGCGGACGATACGGGCACAGAGAGTTCTGTCGAAGTAATCTCGAAAGACCGTAACACGGCGGACATCTTGAATTTCGCGTCATTCGTGGAGAACAATATCGCTTCGAATGGATCAGAAGATCCAACCTCGCTTAAGCTGCTCGAGATGAGAGAGGAGATCGATAAACTGAAGAAAATCAACACCTCCATTTATCAGTACAGCGTGAAACATATCCTGGAGAAGATGAGCAACGATTTAACCTTAACGTGAACTGTATGAATGTCGAAAATCCAGGATTTTAATAAGTAGAATACTTGAAACAATTTTTTTATACGAGAACCAACCGTAATAAAGAGTACTTGTGTTGCAAGCAACGAAGGCGACTTTTTTCCGTCACTTTTTTATTCCTTTCATGCAAACTTGTTTTCGAAAAGTTTCAAACGGGAAATATGTAACGAGGGGAGATGCTAAATTGTGTTGTTCGTAGAGTGGTACTTTTTAAATATCGGAGTGGTAAAGTTCGAGCGTTGTAACGGGAAAATTTGCAAATTGCCCATCGAAAAATCACGAGAATTGCAACGGAGTGCAACCATTGCTATTTCGTTCCGCGTCACGCACGAAAACGACCCGTAAAAGTGCACGATTCGTTCGGGTAACATCGCGCAACGATAAAATGATTAACTCGTCGGGGTACAAATACGTTAGACGAAATGGAACGCTGGCATTTCACGATTTAATGGCGGACGATATTTCAGTTTTGATTGTCCCCGAAGAGCTGGCGTTCGGGTTAAAAGTTCGGGTCGAAAACACACCGAGCTGTTTACTCGGCTACGTGAACACGCGGAATTTACTTCCGGCCCGTAACCAATATAGCTGAAACGGTTAGTAATTTATTTCCAGCCCGGGCCAATATAACCTAGGCAGTTAGCAATTTAATCTCGAGCGGAGATTTTGTTAACTCACGATTTAACTTCATTTTCGGGAATAAATATAAAGATACGAATCGTTTGTACAAATTGCATCTTTTTTTTTTCCTTTTTCAAAGAAACGTATTGCGTAAGGTAAAAAATAAACGAGGTCGAAAGAGCTACGAATATGTAACTCGAATCCACCTTTTTCTTTTTTCGATATTTTTTTGCGGTTCGCTTTGATACGCGACGCTCGCGAAAAATATTCGAACTTTCGATGTTTTTCCTGCCTGTATTAATTATCCACGCATTCACGAACGAATTGGAATTTATATGAAAAATTTAGTTCCCGTTTCTATGCATTTAATATAGTCCTGCTGTTATTACGAATTAATTGATGCGGTTATAAGATAAACTAGGATAATTCGATGGTTGATTTGATAAATATTCTTTTATACAGGGTGGTCCATTAGAAACAGTGGACAACAAACATTTATAAATAAGTATAAATGACTATAGTAATTTCATATATAATGTAGTAAATATAAATATTTTCAACACGCTTCATATAAAGTCACGTATATTATTATAAATATTACTCCTCAATTTTCTTTCACTTGAAAATGTAAATTCACCATTCTCATGGCAAAGATTCCCATTAAATCCCCCCATAAAACCACCGCTTCATCTTCCCCCAGGCTCGCTGCGGCTAATATTGTAAAACGTATCGTGATTTCACTCGACACCGCTGAAGAATGGGATTAATTATTCGCTCAGCATTAGTCACGATCATAATTTCCGCGGTACGTAATTTTCCATCAGCGGATCACGGCTTTCCCCTCGTATTTTTCATTCGTGACCAACGTGCCCTCATAAACAGGTCGTTTCATAAGAGAGGCTACCGCGAGAACGTTACTTTGCCTTGATTTTCGCCCACAGTCGATTTTCTCGTTCCGTGAAATGGAACCGCGAGAGATCGAAATCACCGTCAACTATAATTCTCGTTGTAATATTCACGTCGTTAATAATTCGTTCGCCACGAAGACGGTTCGTATTTCAAGGGACGGTGGTAATTATTTCGACCCTTGAAAATTGAAATGGAAAACTCATTTATAATTTTCAATCCTGTTCAAACCTTTGGTATCTAAATGAGCACTGGCGAACACTCACATGTTTCAGACTTTAAATTTTAAATTAACCTCTGTATAAACACTGTAAGTAACGAAACCTGGTGGGATTTTTATTTTTATTTTTTTGTTTCTAAATATTTAACTCGGTGGAATTTTCTTCTTTAACGTATTCAGTAAATTCAGTGGAACTTTTTTTCCAGATATTAACTAAACAAAGTGGAATATGTTTTCTTTTGGAAATATTAACTGTCAAATGAAAAACCGTGGAAAAACTGCTCGAGTTTCGAATGATTAATGTTTTCCCTTTCTCGTTTTCACAATACACAATTTTCCTGCGAGATTTGTGTATTTTCTTTCTTTTTCTTGTGTACGGTGTTATTTTAAGTCTTGCGAACGGGAATGAAAGGAGCGGAATAGAAATAAAATATCCGTTAACACGTGTTTCCCTGTTCGCGGTACGTGAAACACGAATAATAATGAATTTACACAATCCACGTCCACCGACAGCGTTCCGGAATAAATCAATAGAAACGTACATCAACGAACTCGTAATTATAGATTATATTTACTGAGCTTGAGGATTGTTGTTCTCGCTTAAAACATAGCTACAGCATAGTAATTTTTTGTGAATTTTTTTTTTTTTTTTTTTTTAAGAAACAGAGACATAAATTTCATTTGCATGTCGAAATAACGTACAAGATCGCAAGCAGACGAATGGAGGAGGGATAGTTTTGAAATTTATGAAACCTAAATCCAATGTAAAAATTGAAAATTTACATATTAATGATTTTTTCTTAGATTCAGACAATATAAAGTTTTGAAAATTTGTTTACTAATTGTAAGTTTAGATTCACGTTCTCATTCAAAAGAACTATGTATTGTTTAGAAATCAAAGATGCAAGTTCGTTCGAAAAAAGTTGTCAAACAATTTCTCATTTTCTTCTTTTTCTATAACTATCAATATTTTATCCGCTCCCTATATTTTTATATAAACGAAATCATACCCGTGGAAGTAAAGAAATAAACGAACGACAAATATAAAAATAAATAAATAGAAAATGTAAGAAAATATTACAGAAATCGTTCGTTACATCTCTGGGGATAAGATCACCGACTTACACGAAAGCTCGAGGAAAATTACGCTCAACTCGTCCTTTTCTTAAGTGAAGAGGCAACAAGAAGGAAAATTTACTATTCTTCGTAAATTTGTTCTGTTGCGAGGCCGTGAGCCTCGGTTATAGGAACTTTTCATTGTGCCTAACACAATGACCCGCTGTAGCGGTAGAAGAAAAAGGAGGCGAAAGTTTTCAACCAAGAAAATGTAATCAAACGACTCCGTTGGAAAAGGTTTCAATTTTCCAACGTTTTTGCGGGTCTTCGACGTATGAATCGTTGTATTCCCTCCACTCGATCCAATATGGCCGCTGCGTTCGCCATTATTAACCTATTGTATACATAGAATTTCGCTTATCGCTTAATTGAAACGTAAAACACGCTCTTCGATCGATCTTAAACGTCTTTATTACCGTACGCTTTCTATTCAAACGAGACGCGAACGAATGCAAACGAGCGTTTCTAACGCGTGCGTGAGATTCAATTAGGCCTAAGATGGCCGCCTGAGGCGCTAGAAAATGGTGATCTGTTCGCTGTTACCCGAGTAATTTGCATGGGAATGATCGTGATTCAACGTGTTCCTTTGGAACAGAAAACATACAAGTTTTAACAGAAACGGGTTTACAAAATCGCGTTAAAATATCTGACTATGTAGAGAAATATCGATAGTATTGAATTCTTGACGTTTTAATATTCGTTCACGTATAGGGTGTCTCATTTATAACGAACATCTAATTAATTACCGATGGTATTGAAAGTAAGAAAAAATGATTAAGAGGAGTTTACATATGGTTTGAAGAATCTAACGATGGATAAAAAAAAGTCTTCCTACAGTCATCTTGAAAGTCATTCTAAGGTCGTCGACATTCTTTAATTACTATTTAAGATCACTTTAGCTGTACTTATTCTTTCTATTATGGTGAAAATATAAACGAACCGAAACGTTGGCGCCAAGTGTTGAGATTATCGCGTACCCCAAGAACCTTTTTCATACATTTCTTATCTCTCGAGTAAATGGAGGGAAGCATGACTTACGTTCTCACAGAGGCCAAACCATGACCACCAAAAATCTCCTTGTATGGAAATCTTGGTATATCCTCATCTTCTTCCCTGGGAGTATATAAACCCTCCGATTTTAATCCTCTTGGGGAGAACTGAAAAGTAATTAGTAACGTCACGTTCATTAAGATTCAGTTACATCAAGTGATACCGTGCTCATGTTCCCTTTCGAATTATCAGTTACCTCTATAGAATCCGCGAGTTCGGTTGAAATTCTATTCGGCATATTCTTGTAATCACTCTTATATAGTCTTAGCCTTAACTAGATAGTAGGTAATTAACTAATTCAAATACGCACACATACACTACCGGCCGAAAGTTTGGAATCACCTGCCAATTTATATTAACACTGAATCTGCTACTAATTCTTTGTTGATTTGAAATTGACATTGTGGAGATCAATGGCACTTTACCTCATTTCGACTGATTTGAATGAGAAAAAATACGTTGGAAACTTATTACAAATGCTAACCTTTTTGAGGAATTTTTATGCAACTTGCAATGCACAGTGATTCCAAACATTTGGCCGGTAGTGTACATACAACAAAGAATGTTTAATATAAATATTTAGTATTCATTTAAATCGCACAATTACTTTGAAACCCATCGTTCAACTAGCAATCCTTTAACTATAACGTCCCCACACGATACAGCTTTGCAACTTTCGAGTATCAGCTTTTAATTGAAAAGTTACGACGTCGAACTAATATTTCTTGCGACTCCCTGATTTCGCATCAGGTTCGTTCACACGATTCTAAATATCCAAAAGATTCCCTAAACCCAGTGGTTCCCAGATTCCACATCGGGTTTGCCTACGAAATCTAATCTTCCTACCGGCTAGCTGACTTTTAGTCAGGGTCGTCCGCGTATCATCTTAGTGGCTCCCCGATTTCGCATCAAGTTCGTTCTCGACGTCTGCACACTCCACGAGGCTCCCTGATTATGCATCAGGTTCGTCTTCATTTCCAAACTCCTAGGGACCGCCTGACTTCGCGCCAGGGTCGTGCGCACGTCTTATCCTAGTGACTCCCTAATTTCGCATCAGGTTCGGTCACGAAATTTCACCCTCCTGCGGCTCCCTGATTTCGCCCCAGGTTCGTCTGTATTCGTACTAACAAACTGATACCG